GTGGGTGGTTGGTTGGTTGGTTGGTTGGCTGGTTGGCTTGTTAGTAGGTTGGTTGTTTGGTTGGTTGGTTTGTTGGTTGGTTGTTTGAGACAAAGTCTATTTCCCAGGCTGACCTGAAACTCATTCTGTAAATGAGGTAGGCCTTGGACCTACGATCTTCAGCCTCCCAAGTGGCTAGGATTACAGGCCTGAACAAAAAAAGAGTTTTAAAAAAGCACAGTGTGGCATGTCCAGATTTGTATAGGGGACAGATCATTTAGAAGCTATGGGTCTTGGGTGGTGAGAGAGGAGGGTGGGATCTCCCCACGTGGGATGGAGGAGAGGAAAGAACACTGTTAGCACAGTGGAATGCCCAGGCAGAGCACAGTGATGGGAAACGAAGCATGTCTGCTCTGGATCATGTGACTAAGGGATGCCTGGGACATCTGTCTAGATAAGGAACCTCCAGACGGTAATGAATTAGAGAAGGGGCTCCTTGTCTTTCTTGGATGAAGAAGAAGTCTCTCTCACTCTCTCGCTCTCCAAGCTAACTCTAGCCTCTGCCCTGTAGCACTAGGCAGTGTGGTAGATGGAGGATTAAGCAGTTCTGTTGTGCTTCTCACTTCTCATCCCCATCTTTGGTTTGGGTCTGAAAGCATTTACATGTATCTGGGGTGGGGGGCTCTGTCTCCTGGACAGAAGGGGACTGAAGAGCGAAGCCTGAAGCATTACTGGTTCACATCCTGGCCTGACCAGAAAACCCCAGACCGGGCACCCCCACTCCTGCACCTGGTACGGGAGGTAGAAGAGGCAGCTCAGCAAGAGGGGCCTCGCTGTGCCCCAATCATCGTCCACTGCAGGTGGGTTTTCCTGGCCACCCTCTGGGGCAGGGCTACCCCCACCCCTGGACTGCTCTGGCCCTCACTCCCCCTATCCTCTTGGCCCTAAGTGCAGGGATTGGGAGGACTGGCTGCTTCATCGCCACCAGCATCTGCTGCCAGCAGCTGCGACGCGAGGGCGTGGTGGACATCCTAAAGACCGCATGCCAGCTCCGTCAGGACAGGTCAGCCCACTGGTGGGAGGGGGGGAGACAGAAGCGTGGCACGTGCATGAGGTGAGGGACAGGTGCCGTACCATGCAGGGACTGTAGGGTAGATGGGGGGGCAGGGAAGGCAGCTATCTTCTGGAGGAAGAGAGGAGACAGCTGGTAGACAGGACGGGCTTGAGCACTGGGGCAAGGCCCATGTGTCCCCAACAAGAAGAGGCAGAGGACAACAGCAGGGAAGAGTTGGTCTCTCGGAGCTGCACAAGGGCATGCTTCACAATGGCTAGTGCCCCGAGAGTTTGGGGACCCTTCCTGCAGCCCACTGCATCTCTACCGGCCAGGGGCGGCATGATCCAGACATGTGAGCAGTACCAGTTTGTGCACCACGTCATGAGCCTCTATGAGAAGCAGCTGTCCTGCCAGTCCCCAGAGTGACCACGCTCGGCCTCTAAGGTCCTCTGGGCACCACCCAGCCTGAGCCTGGGCCTTCACCCCAGCTACCCAGGGTCTTGCCTTGGGTCCTGGGCCTGCTCCCCATTCCTACCCGTACTTCTTCCTTCTCAATCTGCTCCTCCTCTGTTATCCTGGCCTGGCCTCTCACCCCAGTCTAGCTCTTACTACTGTACATACTGAGAGGGAGAGGGCAGGGAAGGAACGTGCCAGGCCAGGCCTGGGGCCCCTGGGCCCGACCCACACCATACAGACCTGGGGCCTCAGTTTTAACCATGGTTCCGTTTGCTAACTTGATCCACAACGTTTCCGCGCCTCACTCCCGCAAGTGTCCTGCCACAGTGTATTCTGTCTGTCCATTCATCTCTGCTATCTGTACCGGACACTGTGTCCTCTCAGCTGGGAAACGGGTTCTGAACTGAGCTCCAACCCCTCGGTCCCCAGGCAGAGGTACCTGCCTGTGGCCCCCACCAGCTCCTCCCGATGAGCAGATTGCAATTGCCACCAAGATGTAGCTGGCTGGCGGTAGTGGAGCCTGGAGATCAGGCAGGGGAGTGCCTGAAGGTTGGCAGATCCCAGCTGGGGAAGGTCCCTGGGCTAGGGAAGGCATCACCTCGGTGGCTCTTGGGTATCCAGTGCCGTCAGGAGATAGTGACCAGCCTGAGAAGCACTGGGAAGGAAGAAGGCAGATGCAGGCAGGGAACCTGGGAGAGCTGGATCCTAGAGGGAGGGGTGCCAATGGTAGGGTGGGGACTCAGCCCCGGACCTGCGTGAGACATCTTTCTGTGTCACTATGGGAAAGCCCAAAGTCTCGCTGCGTGTTGCGCTGCGTGTGTTCCCGTGTCCGTGCGTGTTGAGAGCCCGTCAGCAGGGCATGCATGACTCTTTGGCAATGTGTGTTATCTTGGAGCCACGTGTTTTTATTGCTGACTTTAAATATTTATTCCACGGCAGACAGAGACATTTGGTGTCTTTTTATAATTTGCTCGTGGTCATTGAATAGAGCAATAAACGAAGCATTTTAAGCAAAACCAGCCTCCTGGGTCTGTGATTTACCTCTCCCTCCCACTCCCAGCCTCCCTGCACCTGGGGCTTTTGTGCCTCTCCTTCACCGCCTGTGTGCAGGGGATGTTGGCCCTCACTGACACCCCCTGTGGAGATTGGGAACGTGTGAATCCAAATTTAAAAATCTAAAGCCCATTCCTCAGGATTCTCACTCACCCTCAGCCCAGACCACAAAGGTACCCATAGGGAGCCTTCTAGACTGGTACTGAAGGCTTCCAGGGAAGGCAGAGTGGTCAGCAGACCACCAGCTAAGACAGGTGGACCAGAGAGGCCAAAGCTGGTTCAAGGGGGCATCCAGGACCTTCACATTCAGGCTCCTCCCTGTTGACCAGCCCAGTCGCCTTCCCAAAGAGCCCTGGGAACCAGATCCTAAGCCATCCCAGACACTCCTGCTCTGTTCTTACTCCCTGCCTCCTGGGATGGAGCAAAAGTAGCTCTGGACCACTGCTGGCAAATGAAGGTCACCCCAGGATAGGAGGAGGCCCAGGGCAGCCAGCAGGTTCCCACAATATACTCAAATCTTGAGTAGTTGGTCAAGGGTCCACACAGGGGATGCCATGGGCAATTAGGGAAGAACACGGGGATCGGAAGCAGCTCGGATGAGGTCCCAGAGAAAGAGGACGTACTCTCCAACCTTGCTCACAGAGACCTCCTTCTGGAGAATGGTCCCTTGTACCCGGAGAACCAACATCATCCCCTACCACCTCATAAGACCACTCAGACTGTCCTGCATCATGCAGTGCAATGTAAACAGCATCCCCAGGATTTATGCAAACTGGCACATATACAAGACTTGCCCAGTGCACCTTCTCAGTCCTGAGGAGACAAAGGTCTCTGGCTTTGGGCTGCCCGTGCTTGTGTACCTGAGTGTGGACATGCATTCATACCAGCCTGGGTCCCTCACCCAAAGAGGTCCCACTCAGCAGCAGTGGGAAGCAGAATCTCTACCACAGCGCACAGGAAATATACTCCTGGGTCACCACCCTCAGCCTCCCTCAGGCCTGTTCCCCAGCATTCTGTCCAGCTCTGGATCCAACTTGCTTCCCTCCCCCAACTCCCCACCTCCAAGCAGTACGCCATCCAACTGAAGTAGTACCATCCAGCTGAAGTAAGAGCCTGAGCAAGGCACCGCCCCCAGGGGGGCAGGCATTTAAGGAACTAATGACATCCTGTGCTCCTCCGCTGTTGGAGCTAAGGAGATCAACCACGCTACGACCCAGGCACTAGCTGAGCCTCCAAGCCATGGACACAGCATTCGAGTGTTAGAAGGTACAGGGTGATGAAAGTAAAGCATACATTGGTATTTTCTCTGCCTGGAGGGGGATACCAGATGAAAGCAGGTACCAAGACGGGGAAACGGTCTCAGAACCCAGAGGTAGAAGCTGCCCAAGAGATGTAAGAGGTAGGACTTGGGAGCCTCACACCATCGGGCTCAGAGGTGGGGAGTGGGTCAAGAAGCTAGATTCTGTTCTGAGGGATGTTGGACACATCATTTCAATCCTATCAGTTTCCTCATATGGTAAATGGGGTTTTCAAATCCACCATGCTGGTTACCTAAGAGACAGGTTCATCCATTCACTGAAACACCGTGCACTGTTAATAAAAATGAGGAAATGCCTTGTGAACTGGTATGCAGAGATTGCCAAGACACAGAGAGGAAAAAGAGACAGGGCAGAATCGTATGTATGACAGGTTGCCCGACGTCGTGTAAAACAGGGAGGACAAATTAAATAATAAATAAATAAATATCCAGGTCTGCATGGAAGAGCTCCAGAGAGACTACAGACTGTGCTCAGTTCCTGTCTAGGGTTTGGGAGGTGGGAGACTTGGGGGTGGGAAGGAGATGTTTATAGCACTTTGTTTTCTAAAATATTTTATGTGTATGAGTGTATTGCCTGCATGTATGTAAGTGCACCTGTGCCATGCAGTGCCCACAGAGCTGTGAGGAGAGTATCAGATCCCCTGGAACTGGAGTCACAGATGGTTGTTAGCTGCCATGTTAGGTGCTGGGAATTGAACCCAGGTCCTCTGCAAGAGCAGCCAATCCTCTTAACCACTGAGTCATCTTTCCAGCCCCAGAATTTTATGTTTTTAATGTACTAAATTACTGAGTCTTTTTAAGTACAAAAAATAAAAACTATACCTCTGCCTTTATGACATCACAAATTAAGGCAGAGCTGTAGAAACACACTGTCACCTGTCTCACCTTTTGCAATTCTGTGAGACCCCAGGGCCAAAAAGAAAAGCTACACAGCTTCCTTTGAAGGCTGACCCCAGAATGGTATAGTCAGAAGACCATTCTTAGGCCTGACTTCATTCCCTCCTGGTGAAATACCCAGCATTCCCTCTCTCTCCCATGCACCTATCAACAGTTATCCCCAGTTCCCAGTGAGCCCCACTCAGTTGGCTGAGTAAGTTTAAGCCCTATACCCACTCCCATCCAACCTGGAATTGTTTTGTGTTGTGGTTGAGGGAACCAGTCCACTGGTGTTTGTAACTACTCAGGGAAAGGGATATGGAGAGTAAGAAAAAGAGGCCGGGGAGTAAAGGCCCATTCCTGACTGCTTCCAGCTAGCTGTCTACTGTGTACTTTCATCCCCTCTTTCACACACACACACACACACACACACACACACACACACACCCCACTGAATGGCCCTCCTACTCCCTCATCCTTTGTGGCCTCATCCTCTCCCTGGTCCACACAGGTGAGTGCCCAAGACTTTTGTCACCATGACAACCATTCATCACCAGCAGATGGTACAGGAGCATGTGTCCATGGAGTTCTCCAGCTCTGCCACCCACGTGCAGACCTTCTCCCAGACAACCACAGTTGTGGGAGGCAAGTGGAATTGGTGAGGGGGTAGGAAGGGGGTACGAAGGGAAGGCTTTTATTCCTCTACACAAACACCTAGGGGGCCTCAGTCTTTGCCATGAGTTGGCCCTTCCAGAGCCCCCCAACTCCCTGTAAACCTGTGGTTCTAATCCAAAGCTTGATAACACTTCACCCAGCTGGATGATCACACACAGATCAGATCTCTGGGGAATCAGATTTTAAAACTCAATCCCAGGGGGCTGGAGAGATGGCTCAGCGGTTAAGAGCACTGACTGCTCTTGCAGAGGACCCGGATTCGATTCCCAGCACCCACATGGCGGCTACGAACCATCCTTAACTCCAGTTCCAGGGGAATCCAAAACCCTCTTCTGACCTCCACAGCATTGCATGACACGGGTGCACTCACTTACATGCAGGCAATACACTCAAACACATAAAATAAAAATAATAAATAAAATTTTTTAAAAAATCCCATGGACATGTGTGGACTGACAAACTCTTTAATACTTAAGGCTTTCAGAGCCAGAGGCAAATAGACTACATGAATTTCATGCTTGCAAGAAGATAGTCACCTTATCTACATTGAGGAATGCTAGCCCTGCACCATTTTAAAAAATAGGAGGCCTGGCCGCCAGTAGAGGCAGAACAAACACATGAACAAGTAACCTACGTAATCAGGCTCTTAACCCTTGGGATCCAGACTTGGAGGACAGCAGATCCAAAGGAAATCTGAGAAAGGATCTCAGGAGAGCAGACTGTTTCAGGCATGTATGTCTCCGGTGGAAAGAGATTAAAAGATGGCTAAGGGCCAGGGTATTAAGTATCCATCCTTACAGTCCCAGAAGGACAGAGTCCCTCATAGTCCTCTGTGTACAAGGTCATGAGATTAAACACTATACCACTCTGGTCAGTGAGACAGAGCCTTGAAGTAAAGCAGCCAGAACTCAAGGTCTGTGGTCTAGACCAGAAGTTGCAAGATTATTTGTAGCAGTGATTCTCAGCTCTAGCTACTCTTTAGAGCCATCTGGCACAGGGGTGGGGCTAGAAAAACTAGCGGAGCCTGAGTCTCTCCCCAGATCATTAAATCGGGAATGTTTTTAAGTTCCTCAGGGATTCTGATGTGCAGCCGGGGTTGAAACCACTGACCGGCAGCGTCCAGCAGGAAACAAGGAAATGTGGATGTGGGGTACGCTGGAGAGGACACCCAGCTAAGGAGACAGCTCCGGTTTACCTCCCACTGACTGGTGCCATACAGAGCCCAAGTCCAGCACTGAGATCACAGCAATCCAGATTTGTATGTGACATCCTTCCCTTCTGAGATGGATGCCCACCTTTTTGTTTAAACATTATGAAGGTCAAATAAAAGACATCAGCAGGCAAAGTACAACCTGGGCACTACCTGTTTAAGACCTCTGTCCACTACCTAAAATCAAGCCATGAGAGCTTCTTATCAAAAATGTTTTTATCTCAGTCCCTCAGATTAGTGGAGTTAGTAAAAAGCCCCTGCTTTACTGGGATGCTGTGAGGTTTAACAAAGTGATCTCTGATATGTGCCTCACATAGTTCATGACACAGGGAAAGGACTCCATAACTCAGAGCAATTGTTACTCAGCAGATTGATATGACTCACCAGCTATAAAGATTTTTTAAAGTTTATACTACAAAACTGGTTTTTTTCATTCAGGGCTAGTGAGGTAGCTCAGTGGGTAAAGGCACTTGCTGCCAAGCCTGATGACCTGAATTCTATCCTTAGAACCCTCATGGTGGAAAGAGATAACTGACTCCCGAAAGTTCTCCTCTGACCTCCACATATACGCTATGGTGTGTGTGTGTGTGTGTGTGTGTGTGTGTGTGTGTGTGTGTACCTAATAAAATCTTTAAGTAAAAATTGAGTTTCCAATATAAATTTATATTACCATATTGAATATACTCTTGAGAGCTAAGGGTATAGCTCTCTGGGTAGTTTACTTAGCAGATAGGACTGTGGATTCGATCCCCAGCATCAAAATAAAGAAAAGAGGAAAAGAAAATAAAAGATTGGGAACATAGCTCAGTGGTAAAGGATTTGCCTAGCACAGGAAAAGCCCTGGGTTCGATCCCCAGCACCACAAGAAAAGGAAAAGGGTGGGCGAGCATGCTCCTTCAGTTAAGGAGACACCTATAGATAGGCCCCTCTGGGTTGATAATGTGTCCTGTTCCTCACCCAGGAGTCACCACTTCCAAAACAACTAATGCTGACGCACAGGCTGCCAAGGTCATGTCGACCAGAGCTCAGGAGAAGCAAGCCTCTCCCACCATA